AGCTTCACTCCTGAGCCCTATGGAAGCTGGATCCCCTAAATCCAAACAAGCTGTAGTCCCTTATGGAGCCTGCTGAGAATACCAAAGGGGAAAGGCATTCCACTTGTTAAGTGTGTATTATTTGAGCTCAGCAGAAGGAAGCTGTCTCCAAGCTGCATGCAGATTTAGCTACTCAAATTCCATAAAATGTAAAGTACGACACTGACGCTAAACCCTTAAATTTTATGAGGCGGTAGCTTTGGGGAGATGGGAGTCGGTAATAAAAGCTGGAAGCCACCAATATTTGGGTCAGTGATTTGAAAGCAGCTCAAGTCAACAAAGAACTAAAACTCTCAATGTTGGGAAAACTTGCTTCCTTTTATTCTAAAAACCACAGTCCACCAGAGGAAAGGCACAAATCCCGTCTTTCCTATATCCTTTAAATTTGATTTGAGAATAAATATTTTTAGTTTTCTCAAAGCCGAATTACCACCTACTGGAAGGCCGGCGGGTAAGCTGACTACAGCTGAATGTTTCTGCCCTTCTCCTGCATGTGACTGGATGTCTTCTCACTGAACCGCAATGACTAACCACGCTGCTTTTGCTATTCTCCACATTCCCAGTCGAATTGACTATAATAATGATGATGTCATGTCTCAGGTTAAGCATCTATAAGAATGTACTTTAGCATTACAAAACAATTGTGACTACAGAAAATACAAAAGTAGCTGGGCACAGTGGTGCACGCCTATAATCCCAGCACTCAGGAGGCTGATGGAGGATCTTGAATTGGAGGGCAGCCTGGACTACACAGTGAGACCTTGTCTCAATCAATGAATCAATAAATAATAAATAAGTAAATGAATAAATAAAGTGCAAAAATAACAGAATATACTATAGTAGATATCATGATGAAGTAATCCTACTTAGAAAAGATAAACACACATAATTCCCAGGTCAATCACTGTGCATACTAAAATACAGTCATAACAAATTAGAGAAAAACCTCTTTCAGGATGACTACATCTTCAACCCTCAAAAACAAAAGTGTAAAGGACAGAAAAAAAAATTCAGGCAAATAAAGTACTATGTAGCAATAAATAAAGGATAGCATTTAAGGCAGAAAAGGTTTGACCATCATGTAAATGTGAACAAACAGAAAACTGGGCCTGGCGTCAGCGGTTTAGCGTTCAAATCCTGATTCTGCTGCTAGCTGACGGTCTTCCTGAGGTGAATCCCTCCAAGCTTCCAGCTTTCTCGGCTCTAACACGATAATATTGAAGCAAACATTTCACAGATCGAGGATCAAAGATTTCTTACAAAGGATGCATTGAATGAAAACTGAACAGCATCTGATCAATGACATTTTAACTAATCACCTATTAAATAATAGCAATAGTTTTTCAAGTGCCTAATAAATGTTAGAGTATCAGGAGGTGCTTATACTCATTGTCTTTCCTTTTTGCTTTTTTGGTAGCATTGGGGTTTGAACTCGAGGCCTTGTGCTTGCTGGGCAGGCACTCTACCCCTTGAGCCACCTCCCCCAACCCCCACCCAGTATTAGGTATTTTTTGAATAAGGTATCAGGTTTATGCCAGGGCCAGCCTGGACCAAAATCCTCCTATTTATACATCCCACATAGCTGAGATGACAGAGCACATAGCCATGCACACTGAGATGGGGTCACCCGAACTTTTTGCCAGGGCTGGCCTTGAACAGCAATCCACCCAATCTCTGCCTCCCGAGAGCTACGATTGCAGGCATGAGCATGACAACGAAGCCTGGGCTCCATTACCTATTTTATTCCTCCCTTTAAGTCACAGGCAATATCAAGCCTGATAAGAAAAAGTAAGAAAGTTGCTCCAGATTATAAAACAGGTAATAAATGGCAAAACCATGGCTCGAATCAGTCTGGATTTATAGCCCATGCTACTGCAGGAGTTCCTTAGGCTTAACCTGCCATTGACAGGAAACGAGGCACACATGACACATTTTCCAGGTAACAGCGAACTCTAAAATTGTAGGTAAGTATGTCTAAAACAATGTACAACACTTCCTTTTTTACTTTAATTAACTAAAGTGGAAGCCTCTTTTCAACAACTTGGGGTTGTAAGAGTAGATGTTCTGATGTGGGTACATGTGTAGGGCTGTTTGCTTTGAAGCTTGGCAACTCCAGCCCCTAGGCACTGGCAGTATAGCTCCCAGTCCCGTGCCCCAGCCACAGTGCAGCCAGTTAGGAAATTACCCAAGTCAATATGGACTTGGGATAAGAACTTGAATGTGGCTCCTACTAAAAACATCACAATCAAGTTGTGTTATTTTCTTCTTGCTTCCTTCTGGAGTATAGCTGTGATTCTTAGAGATGGACGTCCCTGAACACAGACCTCCAGATAAATGGAGCCTTACTAAACTAATTAATATCTTCTGTCACCTGATCCCTTTAGATTTCAACTTCCTGAATCTCACCTTATTGCTGTAAAAATAGAATCACAGTATTAAAACACACAACCTCTAAAACCTATTGTAGAGGGGAACTACTCAGATTTATCCATTCGTAGTTAGCTGCTTAACAGCTGAAACACAACTCACTGAAAAAGAACACAACACTGATGGCAAACTTGGTCTCGAACTATAAACTCAACACTGGTGGTGAAGGTCAAACGCAATCCAGAAATGCTTCCACCAGGTGTGGGGTGCACGCCCATGATCCCAGATACTTGGGTGGTTCCAAGCCAGCAGGGGCAAAGTTAATGTGAGACATGATCTAAAAAAACAAACTAAAAACAAAAGGACTTGGAGGCATGGCTCAGGTGGAGACCCCAAGTTCAATCCCCAAATCTCCTCCCTTCCTGAATTAGCACAACACTGCGCACACAGTGCCTAGCCCTGATAAAACGAAATGCAAACTCTCTGGGTAAGGGAAGTATCTTTTGCAGGGATTTTGAACTCAGAGCCATGAGCTTGCAGGCAAGTGCTCTACCACCTGAGCCATGCCCCCACACCTTTATGCTTTAGTTCTGTTTCCAGATAGGCTCTTGCACTTTTGCCTGGGCCAATCTCAGACTACAACTCTTCTATCAGATCATAACCCTCCTATCTGTGCCTCCCAGAAAGCTGGAATTACAGGAATGAGCCACTATACCCAGCTTATTATTTGACATAGGGTCTGGCTAACTTTTTTCCCAGGCTGGTCTCAAACCACAATCCTCCTATCTCTGCCTCTTGAGTAGCTGGGATTATAGTGTGAGCCACCATACCCAGCTGATTGGGGAACAGGGTAGTTTCTATCTCATTTTTGGTACCTTATTCCCAGAGCCTTGCACCTTTCATGCAGCAAGAGTTTCAAAAGTGTGAATGAGTGAGCTTTCACCCACACTTTTATACAGATGGGGTGTGGTTGGGGAGAGAATGTGAATGAATGAATGGATGAATGAAAATGTCAATCATTCATTCATCAAGTGCCTACTACTCCCTCTTCCTCCACCACTACTCCCTCCCTCATCACTCCCAGGGAGAGAAAATAAAGTGCTGTCTTCTGTGAGATTGCTAAAACATCTGTAGTAAACAGTGGTATAAAAGAAAGAATCCCTATTTTAAAAGGAAGACCTCAGTAAGGCTCCATGGGAAAAAAAAAAATCAATGTTTATTTTCTCAATTGCATTGATGAATACAAGATGTCTGCTTGCACTATTCACAATAGCCAAGTTATGGAAACAGCCAAGATGCCCCGTTACTGACGAATGGATCAAGAAAATGTGGTTTCTATACACAATGGAATTTTATGCAGCCATGAAGAAGAACGAAATGTTATCATTCGTTTTATCTTTGATCACAAGATAAAAGCGAGAGCACACAAGGGAGGGGTGAGGATAGGTAAGATACCCAAAAAACTAGATACCATTTCTTGCCCTCAACGCAGAGAAACTAAAGCAGATACTTTAAAGCAACTGAGGCCAATAGGAGAAGGAGACCAGGAACTAGAGAAAAGGTGAGATCAAGAAGAATTAACCTAGAAGGTAACACACATGCACAGGAAATCAATGCGAGTCAACTCCCTGTATAGCTATCCTTATCTCAACCAGCAAAAACCCTTGTTCCTTCCTATTATTGCGTATACTCTCTCTTCAACAAAATTAGAGATAAGGGCAAAATAGTTTCTGCCTGGTAGCGAGGGGGTGGGGGAAGAGAGGAGGGGACCGGGGCAGGGGAGGGGAGGAAGCGGGGAGAAATGACCCAAGCATTGTATGCACATATGAATAATAAAACAATAAAAATTAAAAAAAAAAAAGATGTCTTCTTTCAACACACAGGGTTAAATATCAAAAACAATGCATACTTTAATACTTAGAACAGAATCATAATCTCAGGTTTTGACTTTACTTTGAATATTTTAACTATATTAATCCCTTTTTGCCTTTCTGAAACTGGTGGGTCTATTTGAGCATTATAGACAGTACAATATCAATACTCCAGATTTTTGTCCATTTTTATTTCAGACATTTAAACTTCACTAAGAATTACTAAAACAAGCTGGGCATTTGTTACTAATGCCTATAATAATCCAGATACTCAGTAGGCAGAAAAAGGAGGATCAAGATTCGAGGCCAGCCCAGCAAAAGTTAGTAAAACCCTATCACAAAAACAAGGGGTGTGTTGTTGTACATACCTGCAATCCCAGTTTCTTAGGAGGCAGAGGTGAGAGGATGATAGTTCAAGGCCAGTCTGGGCAAAATCAGCATGAGACCCTATCTTAAAAATAAAAAATAAACTAAAAACTACAAAGGCAAAAGTACCAGTGGATATAGCTGAAGTGGTAGAGTACACAAGAGGGAAGCCCTGAAGTTCAATACCCATTATGTTAAAAAAAAAAAAGAAAAAAAAAAACTATGAAAAAACACTGTCCCACAGTCATGAACCCTAATCAGGTAATTATTTCATGCGTGGTGTCATCTGTTTACCATGTACTACCAACCCTTATTAACACGGGCTCTCTACATTAAATCAAGGTATCCATTCAATACCTGTTAACTTTGGATTTTTTCCAGTTGTCTTTTTTAATACCCAAATCCACATATGATTCGGTGAGCTCTATATTTAATTCTCCTTCTGAGTCACTTGGAAGTATGCCTAGTCTTGCAGCAGATTCATAGAGAGAAATTTCATTTTTTAGTTCTGTTAATTCCTCCTAGGACATAAAATTAGTGAAAAAATTTTCATTATTTCCTAGATGAAGAAATCAGTCATTCTATGCTTCAAAATTTGCCTTCATAATCAACAGAAAGCAGAAAAACTTCAGATACACTATTATCATGTATTCTAAATAACTTCGTAAAGGCCAGCACGGGTCATGTTTTCAAACAAATAAACGAATGAAAGAGAAAGCAAATGCAAGTGGCTTCTCTCACACCTCTCTCACTTACGTATTGTCTTCCAGGAAAATCATCCCTTGAACAGAGATGCTAAAGACAGGGTTTTTGGTTTACTATAGCAGAGGCAAAGTGTTTGGTTTGCCAAGAACATGTTATACTCTAGCTTGCCAGAGTAGACAAGCAAAATATGTCTTCCAGTAGAGGAAATACTGGAACTCTTCTCCAGGACTTTCTTCTCCCCTCAGTGGAAAATCTAAGGAGCACTGGAGGTGGAGGTGAAAGAATGGTAGCTAAATTACATGTTCCCCACACCTGTGGATAAACTGATCCTTCCGGTGATGGGATACACCGTGTGAGGAAGATGGTGGGCAGATGGCAGGGAAAAGGCAGGGCCTGATCTACAGTTGACAGACCTGGGCTTCAAGACCTAATGGTAGGGTGAGATTCTGAACAATTGTTCAGAACCTTGGGCTGGTTTGAAGATGACCCAACCACCTCGGTTATACAGAGAAATCTAAGATTGAAAAAGGTGATGTAACAACTGCCTAATTCAGTCTCCCACAGTTTTTGCCCAGGGGCAACACTCACTTGCAAAGCCTTGTTCATGCTTTCGCTTAGAGCGTGTGCCTTTTGTGCTTGCTGCAGCTGGAGCTGAAGCTGAACCACCTCCTGTATGGAGCCTGCGGAGGAAAGAATCACAAGAGACGTGAAATGTAAAGGCACTGAGCATCTGTTATCTACAGAGCCTGAGTCCAGTGAGGCGGCAAAAGGTGGAGCTCTGCTTCATTACCACTATCTTTTCGGGACATAAAGGTATAAAGCCAGTGGACCCAGGAGAAGTAAGTCTGGTCCAAGATTATGCATGGTTCCCTGCATGTCCTTGGGGAGATGAAGGCATGGGCTACTGTGACCTTGTTATGAATCAAAGCAGCCATAAATACAGACAGACATCAGCACTCAGAAGGTCTTTAATAGGAGCGTACACTCCAACTCACAGTACGTGGAACCCACTTCTACCCTCCAAAAAGAAAACTACACTGTATTGCCTTTAGCTACTTCCCAAATGCTTTTATCTCCACCATCCCCCCACCTCCATATTGTGCTTTTGAAACTTTACCAAACTAACATTTTAAATGTGTTATGGGAGTTTCCCATTTAAAAGGGGCTCTCAAAATTAAAATATAAAAATAAATTTTTAAAAAAGTGACTTTCTTGGGTTTTCTATTATGCAGCTAAAGAAAATCATACTTTCAAAGCTTTAATGGCCAGGAAAAAAAAGCTCACCAAACAATGCCAAGTGAAAAAAAAAAGTATACATAACTAACAAAATATGATCCAAATTTTATTCTCCCCAACAGTGTGTGTATGTGTTTGTGACTTTCATGTGTCAGTTAATGAATAACCACTGACCAATCGTCTCAGTGTGAGTGATTTCACAGCAATAGGGCAGCTTTGTCTGTATGGCACTGTTTGTACAAATATTTGGGTATTTTGTTGCCTTTTACTCTAATATTTTATTAAAAAGATAATAACAAATGAAAGTACTGCTGACACTAAAGGGATACAAAGCATATGTCTCAAAGTTAATACCATGGAGACCATACTAGAAATCTTAAGCATGACAAAAATGTAACTCTCTGGTCCCAATGACCAGCTAAGTAGCTACTCTACTTGGGGAGTGAGGGTGAGGGGTGGGAATTGAAGAAGTTATACAAAAGGACAGATATGAATGATTACATGTTGGGTCTAAAAAAATCAAAGTATAATGGAATTTTATAATCACTTTTAGCTTTTAAAGCTAGAATTTATCTTACAACATGTATTTCATTCTTCAATTTTGCATGTTCAGCTTTCGTATGCTTTCAGAAGTATATATGGAGGGGGGCAGGGCATTGTCTATTCACATGCACTCATTGTATTTGAAGGAAATACATTCAGATGTTAACCACACTTATCTCTGAGTAGTAGAGTTGTTGGTTATTTTTATTTGGTACTTCACACTTCTCTGCATTTTCCAAATTAAGTAATAGAAATGAACTATGTCTTTACACATATACAACAATCTTTTTAAAAAGAAAACAAATTGCCATTGATGTTTTTTTCTGTCTCTTCTAGAGTTTTATAATTCATGGATCCTACAGTATTCTCTACATTTTATACTAGCCTCCTTTTCTTTTGGCAGTAGTGTGGTTTGTACTTAGGACTTTGCACTAGCTAGACAAGTGCTCTACCATGTAAGCCATGCCTCCAGTCCTTTTTTGCTTTAGTTTTTTTTTTTTTTTTCAAAGAGGTTCTCACACTTTTTGCCCAGGGCCAGTCTCAGACAGCAATCCTCCTACCTATCCCTCCCAGGTAGCTGGGATTACAGATGTCCACCACCATGCCCAACCAATACCAGCCTTTTGAAGAGACAGCAACTCAGCCAGACACCCACCTGATTGCAACAACTGGGCACACTGCTTCTGACTCTCCTCTAGGCTTCTTGTCAATCTATTAATGATCTCAGTCTTCTCTAACTTGGCTGCTTCTTGATTTCTTTCCAGTTGCTTCACCTGATCTTTGAAATGACAGCAAATGTCTTCCTAAGCAGAAAGAGTTCAAGAAGTCAGTTTCATGGCCAGTTTTAATAAATACTAAAAATGTTAATACATAATTGCACTTTAAGTCAAACATAAAATCATCCCATGGCAGCATCACCTCTTTCACTGGGTAAAATGCACAGGACAGAGAGTCAAAAGAACACACTTGTGTGATGTTGGGTAAGGTTCAACTTCGTGGTCTCTTTCTTTTTTTTGGAATCTGCTACAAAGGATGAAACAGATGACTCATAAAGTACCCTTCTACTCCACATCCACAAAACACTGCTATTCTAAAATTAGATTTCATTTGTGCCAAAGGAAATGAGTCACGTTCCTCTTTGCATTTTATGCTGCCAGTATAAATGTACATCTATTAAGGCAAACCACTTTGAATCGTGGAATTTGTATCTCAAGATAGCAAGGATACAGATAAACAAATGAAAACTAACTCTGTTCTGAACAATCAAAAGCTCATTCTGTTCAGGGCAACCAAAAATACTCTTTCCCTCCTCTGAAATTCTTTTAAACTAGATCTGTTTCTCTCTAATGTTTCTCCTTCTACCTTTACACATTTGCTTTATCGTGAACATGCCTCTGCTGTGCTTTACACATAGCAAGTACTACAATAAACACTTGAAAATGAATGACAAAGAAAGCAGAGAGAGAAGTGTGTGTGCGTGTGTCCATGGAGATGTATAAAAATGTAGAATATAAGGCTGGGGATATAGCTCAGTGGTAGAGCACTTGCCTAGCATGTGCAAAGCCCTGGGTTCTATCTCTAGCAGTGCAAAATACAAAACAATAATCAACAACAAAAAAAGATAGATTAGATAGATAGACAGAGATGATAGATAGATAGAGACAGATAGATGATAGATAGATATAATAGATAGACACAAATAGATAGATGGACTGTGTATACTCAAGTTTCTCAAAAAAGAAAATGTGTTTGGGAGAAATGAGTCATGGGAGTCCAAAGCCCATGTAGAAGAAACCACCTCTGATCCATGTATGCAATTATATGCAGAGTCTAACACCAGTACCATACTCTGCTGAAAAAGAATAGTCACAGAACATACCAGTGGGAAAGCCTTAATCACAACCTTCAGCATATGTTTCTGGAGTCAGAAGCTTGCTCAGCACAGAATCAAGACTTTGCTCTATCTTCTACTTTAAAGTTCTTTTGAAGCAAAGGGGTAGGATTTGGGAATGGGGGCTAGGGCAGGAAGTAAAATACAGAATTCAGAGGCACAGGGTCGAACACAGGAGAAATTCCAATGTAATTCTGTCAAAGTCAGCAGAGAATCAAAAGCCCTTCAAGTAACCCAGCATGGCAGAGCAGCCAGACTCCACTCTTCCCTTGCCACCCAGAGGGACCACTGTCCACTTTAATTCTACTACCTTCTGTTTGGCCAAAGTTAATATAAGCAACATTTTTTTTATTCATATGTGCATACAATGTTTGGGTCATTTCTCCTTCCTTCCTCCACCCCCCTCCCTTACCCCCCCCCACCCACTCCCTCTCCCTCCACCCCCTCAATACCCAGCAGAAACTATTTTGCCCTTATCTCTAATTTTGTTGAATAGAGAGTATAAGCAATAATAGGAAGGACGAAGGGTTTTTGCTAGTTGAGATAAGGATAGCTATACAGGGAGTTGACTCACATTAATTTCCTGTGCGTGTGTGTTACCTTCTAGGTTAATTCTTCTTGAACTAACCTTTTCTCTAGTTCCTGGTCCCCTTCTCTTATTGGCCTTGGTCACTTTAAAGTATCTGCATTAGTTTCTCTGTGTTGAGGGCAACAAATGCTATCTAGTTTTTTTGGTGTCTTACCTATCCTCATACCTCCCTTGTGATAAGCAACATTTTGAAAACTAAAATAATAAAAACTAATAAAACTGTATCTCAAATTCTATTTGTTTAAATATGTTATAAAGTAGACTTTTCCATAATTTGGTATAACCTTTATCTTTCCTCACCATTGCATATCCTCCACAATTACCAAATTCACATATTTTTCTACATAAAAGGAACAAAAACCTAATTAAAAAATCTAATGAAACTCATAAATACATATGAAAATAAAATGGTAAGCAATTATTGCCAATAATGTAATCATTCTACCTAGCACAGGAAAATTTAGGGAGTTAGCTAGAAGTCAGAAATAACAACCCAAATCACAATGAATTTTAGGTATGATAGGACTTTCCACACTCTTGCATCTTATTTTCTTCTCCTCTTCCCTTGGGCTAAATTAGTTCTGAAATTACATTTGGAAAAATGTATTCTGAAATTATATTCATTGAAATGATTACCAAGGGTTTTGGAGCACAAGTAAAGCCAACACTTGACTCACCCTCAACTCATAATATTTTGTTCCGTTCTGAACAAACATATGCTGAAATATGCTCAGGCTTCAAATCATAAGGAGTGCAGACTTTCATTCCTATTTTATACACTATTTTATAGGTTGAGTACCCCTAACCCAGAACATTCAGTTCTGGAATACTTATGTAAACATAATGAGGTATCTTGGGAACAGGACTCAAGTCTAAACATGAAATTCACTTTATACTTCATATGTGCATTGTACACATAGTCTGAAGGCAATTTTATATAATTTTCTTTTAATACACATGTATTTGACCATGACCCATCAAAATGAGGATAAGTGTGGAATTTCCCACTTGAGGTGTCATGTCAGCCACATTAGTGCATACTGAATTTCAGATTTTCAGATAAGGAATGATCAAACTGTGCTCTCAAAATTAACTCTTCTTCCAAAAACTATTTCTTGATAGTCTTTATTGATAGGTGAGTTGCCAGATGCCAGGAGACCCAGAGATAGCCCCCAGAACAACCTTTCAGGTTCTGTCCAGCCTCTAGCTCCTTTCAGTCTGCATTTACTCTAGGACAACGAGTGATATGTATAAATACTGTACAAATAAAGGACTAGTAATGTGAGCACTGAAAAAGTAATAATCAGTCCTATAAGAAGGGTTTCCAAAATTAGAGGTTCAGAGTATATTCATAGATAAAAAATTAACGGCTTTCAAGTTTTACTTGCAATCTAACAGCTACCATAAATATCCAAGATTTTATGTGAGAAACCACATACTATCAGTTACAAAATATAACCAGCTTTACTTGTTAACAACAGTTACTCATTCGAAATCATCTCAACCTGTTCCTTAAGTGCAGTAACTGCAGCATCCAAATTCTTCTGTAAGGATGATACTTGCTCTTCATACTTCTTTGTGAGGCCCATAACAACATTATCATGCTGCTCTCTGGCTAGCTGGAGTGATTCAGAACGATGAAGGTCGACCAGTTGCTGCTTCAAGCTTTCCAGAGCCATTTCAGTTGCTCTGGACTTCTTGATCATCTAATAAACAAACACAGGATATCCACATTGACAGCATTTTAACATTATGATTTCTAGAGACTTTACTACTAAAACCAGCCAGGCCTTAATGACAGCAGAGAAGAAGGGGTCTCCCCCATTTATGGCCTTAGCTCCTTAAAACTTCCCTAGCTGAACCCACTGAGCCCATGGTTGCTGGGAAAATAGATTTCAGAGTTACCCGAGGAGCGTGAAAGAGGATTTTGCGCAGCATCATGACCATGGGGTACCAAGCAAGGAGTCTGCTGCTGGAGCACTGATGCCAGAGCTGTTGCACTACCCTGTGAGCAAAGTGTGTGGCAGCCCAATTGTTAGGTCACAGAAAAATTACAACTGTTTCTTGAAAAACTGGTAAAATCTGCCAAAAATCAAGTTTTTGTTTTATTTCAGGTTTGTTGTTGTTGCTGTTGTTAGAGGGAAGATTCTTTGTTGTTGTTGTTTGTTTGTTTGAGACAGGATCTCATCATATTGTCCAGGCTGACTTTGAACTCCTAGACTCAAGTGATCTTCCTGCCTCAACCTGGGAGCAGCTGAGATTACAGATATGTGTCACCATGCCTTGTTAAAAAAGTACTGAAAGCACCGTTGATACTGTAGGTAAAATAATGACCCCCAGCGGATTTTCTATTAGTTTTCCTAATCCCCCAAGCCTATGAATACTTTATGCTACAAAGCAAGAGAAAATTATGACTGCAGATGGAATCAAAGTTACTAACCAGATGACCTTAAAATAAATAGATTGTCCTGTATTATCCAAGTAGGTCCAATATATCCTCAAAGGTCTGTAGATGAGGCAAACTAAAGCAGAAAAGTCAGAATCAAGGAGACGTGGCCAGCAACTGCTGATCAGAAGATAGAAATGAGCCACAGGCCAACAAATGCAATGGCCTCCAGAAGCTGGGCAAAGCCGAAGATAGGATTCTGCCCTGGAACCTCCAGAAAGCAAGGTGGCTCTACTGACACCCTGATTTTAGCCCAGTGATATCCGGGTCAGTCTTCTGACCGCCAGAACTGTGAGACAAATGCGTACTGTTTATTTTATTTGACTTGGTTTTGTTTTTTGTATTTTTGGTAGTACTGGGACTTGAACTTAAGACAAGTGCTCTACCACTTGAACCATGCCTGCAGCCCTTTTATGTCTTTAATTATTTTTCAGACAGGGTCTCTTGTTTTCACCATGGCTGACCTCAGACCGTGATCCTCCTACCTATGTCTTCTGAGTAGCTGGTATCACAGGCATGAACCACCATACCCTGCTTGTTAGTCGAGATGTGGTCTTGCTAACTTTTTACCAAGGTTGGCTTCAAATCACGATCCTCCAGATCTCAACTTCCTAAAATTTGTATTGCTTTAAGACACTAAATTTGTGGTGGTCTGTTACAGCAATAATAGGAACCAATACACACTTAGCAATTCTCTTACCTTCATTTTCATTTTCATTTATGCTTCTCTGTTTTTAATAAACATAATATCTAACTTAGAAAAGATTACAAAGTTATAACCATGTACTATATAAAAACAATTTAACTTCTTAATTTAATAAATTTGTCAATTTTCAAAAGGTTGAAAATAATCCACATTATACCCCAAAATTTAAATTTCAAGTGAGATTGTTTTCCATTCTATTCCAGAGATCACCTATTTATTCCAAAACTGCCTTCTAATTTTCTAATTTGTTCCATAAGTAACATGGATTATCTGTGCTGGGCAAGATTCTGAATGCTAAAGATAGAATGACAGGACAGACAAGTCCAGCCTCTTCCTACGTTCTGGTGGGAAGAGACAGACAAAAACACCAAAAGAAATGAGATCATTTCAGAGTTATAAAACAGTAACAGAAAATACGGCATGATAAAAGAGAGTGAGAATATGGAACTATGTATGGGCTACTTTAGGGGAATGGGAAGTCCTTTCTAAAAAGGTGACTGTTTATTTTTAAAGCTAAGACCTGATGGATGATGAGGAACCACCTAGGAGACAACACTGTTTAAACTCTTTCATTAAGTGATCCTCAGACTTAGCTACAAGTTTTACCCAAAATCCAGCTCATTGTTTAACTGTAGCTTCATTTTTAAACTCCCCTTCAAAAAATGACATTACCCTCAGGAATCACCAATCTCCAAGATAAGTAATCAAACCTGTGACTATTTCTAAAAATCAAGTGGCTATCTATCCCATTAATCAAAGCATGTGACACTACTTTAAAGGAGAACCTAAAGAATAGATGTCCAGATGTTCAAGAAGCAACAGTCACCTTCACTTCCCCCCAAAAAAATAGCTCTGTAGGACAACTCTGTTTTACAAAACATGAAAAGTTGATTTGCAAGATCTAGAAAGAAAATATGGAAAAGATGCCAAGCTCTGGCTTAGATGGTGATGCTACAGGATAACGGAAGCCCAAGGACACCTTCAACCTGTTCTGGGTCTATCACAATAGAATTGATCACCTGATTTGAAGGTGATCACTTAAGAGTAGAAAACCTACAAGCAGGACCTTATTAAACAAGCAGCAGCATGCCACTGCAGAGGGATGAGGCACACAAGTATATCAAAACAAGACTAGTGAGTTTGAGAAGAGTTAAGAATAGCCAAGGATCAGATGGTTATCTTGATACTGCATTTGTCCCACAAAAAAAGTGTACCATTGAAAGGCTTTAAGCAAGGGAATGATGAAATCGGAACCGTATTTTAAAAAGATTACTCAGATGGCCCTAAGAGAATTTGCGGAAGGGCTACGACTAGAGACAAGGTAAGAGACCTTTGCAAAAAGGTCAAACCTGGAATGGAGATGTCAACAAAACTGGATGAAACAGAGCAGAGTTGCTGAGGCCTCCTCCAGATGTCTGAAGATGACCAGGCACAGGTGGCACCACCTCTCCACAGTAAGACACTAGGGCCAGTTTATGGTGGAGGAAGATAAAAACTTCTTCCAAATTTAGTCCTATCCTACCAAAAGTGTATTAAATAAACTTTTCACTTAGTAACTTTGTACCATAAAGTTAAAAGATTTACCTTTTCTTCATTGACTTTTAATGCTTGAATTTGGGTCTCCAGTGCTTTTATTTGTGCTTCAAGCTGGATCTCCCTCTCTTTTCCATTCTGAAAGAGTTTCTGCGATTCTCGAAGGCTGAAGGTCAAACCATCCTTTTCATCTATGGCATTGAAATATTTGTATAAATAATATGCCACTGTAGAAGGATCCTAATTATTGCAATCCCTATCAGGTCTTTATCATGTATAAAGTATTGCTGAATTAAATTCAATTCAGACAAATGAATACTATTTGACTTAGAGAAAACCAGAAAAAGGTTTGAGTTAGAGAAAACCAGAAAAATGACTTAATAAAGGACTAAAGGTGTGGCTCAAGTGGCAGAGTGCTTGTTTAACCAGTTCAAGGCCCTGAGTTCAAACCTCATTATCACCAAGTGGTAGAACACCTGCCTAGCAAGTTCAAGGCCCCGAGTTCAAAATCCCAGTACTGCAACAACTACAAAAAAGTAATAATTTTGATACCAAAACTATTACAGAGAAGCAAAATCACTAACTTTAAATTTTTATTGTATCCCTTCTGGGGTCAAAAGAGTCCTAATAATTTCAGCATTAATCTGAGAAGCTACAAAGAAATAGCAAAACTCTATTAATCAAAAAGGTATCTGAGGAGCCAGGAGGGGCAGTACAAGCCTGTAATCCCAGTACTTGGGAGACTGAGGTAGAACAACATAAGTTTGAGACCAGCCTGGACTACAAAGGGAGACTGTGTCTGAAAAGAAAAAATAGTATCTGAGAACTGACTACCTACTAAACAAATTTGTCATGGACTCTTTAATTCACTTAGTGTTAAGTTGTTTGCTCACAAATTCTTCTCTCAAAATAAATTTCATGAGCATTATAGAAAAAGAGCTTTCACTATCAATTAAATTTGAAATGAAATGGAGTTTAGTCACAAAATTATTCTACAAATAGAAGTTTAACACTGACCAAAACTACTGAGTTCACAGGAGTAAGCAAATATAATTTGAAGCTGTATTTCCTCTAGGCCATTACACCGGAGATGGCAGGATTTTCTCTTTGGCACACTTACAGCAGCTCAGCAGCTTGGGGTCCCTAATGCCTACTTGGCCTAAGATGTTTATGCTAATTTGCAGGCTCAGAAAACTTTGCATTGCAAACTAAACAAGTCACTAGGGGAATGAGTATATTTCATCCAAGGTAAAGACAAGAGGCATCAACGTCTTTTTAGGTGAGAATGCAGTCAGCATAGGTAAGTAATGTTCATTGATTCTAACAGCCAGAGAGAGAAGAGAAGCGGGAATGAAGTAAAGAGAAGAAGAAAAAGAGAAAAACAAGAAATGTAAAATACTGTGTTCTCGGAACATACTGGGAAATAATCCAAAGCAAGGACTCAGAGTCCTGGGTTTTATTTTGCTCTATCTGACTCACTATGAGTCCTCTGACCAAGTTACATGGGGTTACTGGAAATAAGAAACTCAGAAAAATAAAAAAAAATTTTTAAATATGGGCTGAAAACCTGGCTCAAGTGCTGGCACACCTTCCTAGCAAGCATGAGGCCCTGAGTTCAAACCCCAGTACCACCAAAAACTGACAATAATGGTTTATCGGAAACAAGATGTCCACTTGTGCAGTTCAGAAGGCACCAAAGCCCAGATGCTTTTGTCTCACCACTGATCATCCGGAGCTGGTGGTTCAGATACCGAATCTGACGCTCACTGTCGTTTAGCTTGTCCACTAAGCTGTCCAGTTGTCTCTCTTTTGCTTTGTTGAGAACCTGAAGCTGCATAATCTGCACATTTTCTACAGAATCTGCTTTGGAATTAAAGGCAACATATTAGACAAAAACACAACAAAACATAAATTTGTGTTTTTCACACTGTGGATACAACTTATTAGAGTATCAGTTCCATGGACTGTGACTAGCATTTTTTTTAAATCAAGATAGTCTAAAATAGAATGTATCAGAGAACAACATGCAGTAAGAATAAGTACTTTGTGAGCTTTTGTTTCATTTACACTTACTTTATATTGGTTTATAGTGTAGACCATATCACAATATAAAAAAATCCTAGTCCTTACTGTGGTCACTTCCAGAAAAACTTGGAAGTTATTAGTTTCAGGTGTAACCTTGACTCACTGTCAGTTTGGTTATTTAAAAATCAGAATATAGTAACCGCAACAGAATAGAGTAATTGCTCTTATAAAATTAAAAACAAGGCAAGTATATCAGCTTCTATAAAATCATTTTAATAAAAATCTCTAGATACCATCTCAAAATATTTTATCATTAGCAGTAGGAAACATTTTTTATATAAGAATACTGCTGCTGTATTAATTAACTAATGAATAGATTAATGAATAATTTTGGAGTCTTCTTTCAGCAACAAAATCATTTTAATGGAGCACTGAAAAAAGATGGGGGAGAAAATGAAAATCAGGACAGGTAGGAGGATAAAGCTTCAACTACATAGTGACAAACGGTCTTCATTACTTCTGTCATAACAGGATCAGGGGTCAGGCAAGAAACAAGGTCTCCAAGCCTCACCTCTCTCCAAACTCATTTTTCAAACAACTGTTGCTAAAAAGCTATAATTACTAAATTTTGCACTAATGAATTAATTTCCAAATGTCAAATTTAGGAAAATGTGTAACCAACTTAAAAAACAAACCAACTTGATAAAATGCAGATTGTTAAGAAAGGTGGGCTGGCAGAGTGGCTGTAGAGCCTGCCTAGCAAGTACAAACATGAATTCAAACTCTAGTACCACCAAAAGCAAACAAACAAATAAACAAACAAAATAAGGGGCTGAAGGATATGTGCAGAAAGACCAGAGACATAAATCCAACTCAGTACAAGGAAACTGACCAAAGTGTAAACACAGAGGCGACATCTGTTAACCTACAGCCAGTTAAACCACATGCCCTGTTCACGTTCTTATTGCACAAAAACCTATGAACAAAGATAGCCCACCCCATATTTGCTGTTGCCCCTTATAGGGGAAAGTGAGTTCTGGGCCTTCCCCTCACAGCTATTCTGTGGCTCTACTGGAAGCAACACTATGAAGTCATGGCAAGGAAGTCTATTTTTCTACGACTTTGTCCCACTAATTAAATTTAACAAGCAGAAAAAAAAAAAAAAAGAGCACTTGTAGCCATACTCTGGTTCTTCAATATGCAAAATAATTTTAACTTATCTAATATAGCAGAGAGTATGGCAATAAAACCTAGACCTACAAAAACACTAATTCAGGATAGTCATTGTACAATTTTGGTTTTCATTTCTTGACTTTTTTTTTATATCAGCATTTCATCTCAAAGTTCTGTAGTACTTTTTTTTTTTTTTTTTACAGTACTGGGATTTGAACTCAGAGTCTTACACTTGCTAGGAAAGCACTCTGTTGCTTAAGTCATGCTCTCTGTCCTTTTGCTTTAGTCTAGATAGGATTGCAGACTTTTAGGCAGGTTGGCTTTGATCCACAATCAAACTGAGCCTTGCACCTGCTAGGCAAGCACCCCACCACTGAGCTGCAGCCCCAACTCTTGCTTTTTTTTTTTGGACAAGGTCTTACATATAACTTGAACATGCTATGCAGTCCACAGTGACCTTGAACTCAAGATCATCCTGCCTCAGCCTCCCAAGTGCTCAGATCACAGGTGTGCACCACCACGCCTAGCTCAACATGTTATTTTTGAAGCAAATGCTAGACTTCTTATCAGTTTATTCATAAGTACCTCAGTACATATCTCTAAAAATAAGGGTTCTTTGAAGTATCAGTGACAATTCTTTTGTCACACTTTAAAAAAATTCTTGAATGGGCATATAAATATTCACTCAGTATGCAAATTTGTCAATTATGTTATTAAAAATAAAGATAAATGTGATACCTACTTTCATTAGCTCCTAAAAATTGTTGCTGCAGGCCTTCAAATGTATCACTTTCTGCTACCTCCTGGGCTGGTGAGCTATTGTTCTGGAGAGAAGGCTGATATGGTTTATACGTCACTTTATAAGGCTCTAAAGCTTGACAGCTGGGCCCTTGTGGTGAGCCAAATTGCTATTTTAAGATGACAAAAGAAACTGAAAATTAGAATTTGGCCTTTCCTTCCAAAATTACCTGAACTAGATATCTTGATTTTATGTTATAGAAGTTAACAGTGCATGGTACAGTTATAAACTTTTTCTAGACATCTTTGCTCAAGAATGGTATTCAGTGCTATTTAATACTGTCAATTCCTTCAGTGTACTTCATGTGCTCATTGTACTTTGAGCACACAGTGGAGCCAAGAATTCCAATGAGCTTGTACGTAAGTTCTACTACCACTTATTCAGATGATGCCAGTGTCTCGGGAACATAAAATATATATGCTCAATGACTAGAACATGTGAAACAATGCCCCTTATGTAACAAATATTCAAGAACTTGCAGAAGGAATAATATTCTCCAGAGACAGAATCAGAGAAAACAACCACCTTAAATGGGCCAAAAAAGCATGCTGTTGTTGACTCAGTAGAGCATTCGGCAAAATGAGGCATTTCTTGTCACTGAGAAATTCTACAAAAGCAACTAACTGTACTCTGAAGTTTTGTTCCATTAAGCTGTTCCACGGTCAAAACAAGGTGTTGTTTTTTGTGGGGTTTTTCCACTTAATATTCATCCTGTCCTCTGCTATATATATATATCATACAAAACACATATTATTATTTTGAAGTATTTGACCTAAAATTTGTTATAAGAGTAGTGAGCAAGAAACTGAGAAACTAAGCTGTTGTCTTCATAAAATTGCTGTTTTTAACAACTCTCTCAAGGTATTTACCGTGGCTTCTCACCAAAGCACTCAGAAGTGGTAGAAGCCAGAAGCAACACGAAATGAGGACAGTTATTCTTTGGCAGATTTGACTTTTAATGCTTAAATAACTGTTTCCAAAAAGCTTCTATTTTAAACATCTGACTTAAGATCATAATTGCACTCAATTATAAACAGAAAATAGGATGACTAATTCAGCATGAATCTGAATAAGCATATTCTCAGAAACTTCTGTAGTTAAATCATCTGACCATTGAACTTGTATACATTTCTTAAAACATACATATGTCATGCAAATCCAAGTGCACACACACAAATTTTTGAAAGTCAAATGCTTATAATACCTGAAAATGGTTCCTTTGAGGATCTGAAAATTTAATTACATTTGTTGATTGATTATTAAATTCCTGTTTCTGACCATTGGTGTATGGCCTAAAGTTTTCAGGAAGCTGGTACAAATCAGTCTGCTCCTGTTTACTTGGAGGACTGTAACCACTTCCACCTTCATCTCCACCTTCTTCAGGATGGTACCCAGGATGTCGATCTTCAGTTGTACTTTGATTTTCTTTCCAGCCATTGCCACACTTCTCTCCAACAAATAAACCCTGAATTTCATTACAGTGCTATTAGACAACAAATGTAAAGCAAGAACATGAAGATCTATCCCGACCCTCGTCACAGTCATGGTCACACAGATACTCACAGTTACACTTTGAGATCTGGACAGCACTTGATGCTCTTTCCAGTCCCTCTCCAACTGCTCAGGAGGATGTGGTCTTGAGAGAAATCAATATGTTTGATTTAAGGCCTATCGTTTATTTGGAGAGCAATAACACAAAGAACCCCAAGAATTTAATCTCTGTTGTTTTCCCTTCAACTTTCACCCCCAATTTTAAGAACTGGTCTACAGTTTTACAATCATTTACATTATTATTACCCGCAGAGAATCAAAAGAGGAAGACTTATAGAATGCAATGACAAGGGAAAGTGACATTGGGTCCTTACTCTCCCTCTGTGCCATCGTCGCTGCAGTATGAATAGTGGAGTTCGGGGGAGGAGAGGTCATCGTCCAGCATATCATGAGGAAGGTCTGTGAGTAACTGCTGTAACTGAGGCAGAAAAGGCTCATCAGTATCACATCAGCCAAAATGCAAGGCGCAGCCCAAAGCTGCCTTGGGGCACCTGACTATAAAGCAAAGAAGTTTCTAGAAGAAGCTTCTAAAACAAGTTTCCTACATTTAATTTATTTCTTAAATTCCACACTTCAGGAAAGGGAATTGTGTGATGTCAGGATTTATATTGAAAGGCTTTGTTTTTTTCCTACAAAGGTCTCAGATTTAGGTACACATACATAACAATGTAACTGAAAAGCCTCTTTATGGAAATACAGCAAGTCAGAATAACGGTGCCACAATTGTCTTGTGCTGTCACAGGGCAGACTTGCCTCTCAGAGTCCTTTCTGCCAATAACCAGACCCTGGGGACTCGACAGTCGGGCGTCCCACAGGGAACATGTTGCCAGACCCGCTCTGTCCAGGTGCTGGGACGGCAGCAGTAGCAGGTGGCCCAGAAGCCCTTACGCTCTGATGATGTGACAGAAACACTCCCTGGGGATGTCTAATTAGTAGACAGCCATCTAATTCCAGTAATGAAAAGCTATATAATACTCTGCTCCTATAAAACACGTGAGTGAAAGGATAGCTGGAAGATTCGTTTCCCACTGAACCCTCAAAAGCGTAACATTAAAACTGGGATAAAATAATGTTGACTTTCAACATCTACCTGCAATTGTCTTTCCTCAAATCCTAATATAAGTGTCTTGAAATTCATAATGACCAGAAAACTCAAATAATATGCTGCTAAATAGGTTGTAGGGGTACAGCTTATAATAACTTTTCTCAAGAAACTAAGCATCAGTTTAATTAACAAATTTACTAAATCCCTCCAGAGTACATAAATTAATCCCACAAAATTATGCAATGAGTGAACTATAAAGATGTTAAATACACTGTAAAACCTTCCAGGTGCAAATGAGAAGCTGAGTAGTCTGTGGGAGGTGATTGTGAGGTTTTATTGTTGTTTTGGGTTATTTTTGGTTTTGTTTTGATGTTCACTTTCTGTCAGTAGAATAAAAGAAATGCAATGAAGTTACAGTATGTATCTGAGTAACAATTGTGTCTAGAATTTTAAAAAATTTTTCTTAAAACACATGAAAAAAACCACACATATTCTAAGAAACGTCTGAGAGGAACATCCCAAATTGTTAACTGAGTTTTGATGAAATAAAATTTAGGAATGGGAAATGGAGTAGATGAGGCAGAGAGCAGGGAATACCTCCTTGCTCCCTGGTAGTCACTGGATTTTTTTTTTCTTTTTTTAAGTTTCTCAACCCATTTGGCTCCTTAAAAATGAAAATAAGAGAAAGATACTCTTTCCAATGAAAAGTTATGTTTGTCTTAAATCTGCTTTATATTAATATTAACAACAAAGACCTTGATTTATTGCCTACCTGCTTAGGCACAACTGAAAAGTCATTTTGAGAACTGGCTATGTCAGAGTGGACAATAACAAGACAAGACAAGAACAGGAAAGGAAAAACACTGAAAACAAAACAGAACACAGCAACATTTTATTGCATACTACATGCCTCGTGTGACTCGCAAAAGCAATTCTACAAAGACAAAGTCACAAGGAAAAACAAAACAAGACATGTCCATCAGGTCTTTTAAAAGTAGTCCAACCTGTTCATTCTATAATTATGCTTTAAAAAATAAACACTCCTCCCACTTGTCACACAGGGTAAAATAACAAAATAAATCCTTTAGACTTACATCCAGTAAGGACTCCTAAACAAAAAGAATATTTTCTTCAAAATCTTCAGTGAGTTTCAAGTACAGAGCCTTATAATTCAGGGGAACCTCAACAGGGCCATCTGAACAGTACATTCTCTGCCACCACCCACCCCCCCCCAACACAGGAAAAGCCACATTAAAAATTAAGTGGTTATTGTAGCTTTCTTTGTGATACCACAAAATTGGCATGTATGGAAAAAAATTAATTTGAGTAATCAGCTAATCAAAATGCTTCTGAATCTGTAAGTAGACTTATCAAATAGCAAATCATTCCTATTGTGTCTTATATTTTACATACATGCTAACATTTTAAAATATTTTCATTCATCTTTTTTTAAAAAAGTTTCTTCAACACATTCTTTAACATAGCTGAGTCTTACTCCTTGGCTTCTAAAACTTTCAGGGCAGAGAGAAGATAATAAGGTAAGTCCTCCTAATGAGGACATTGAGGAACAAAATCCCACTCCCAACATTTTCATTTTCCAAGATCATATCCATAGTCAAATAGATTATGATTTGATCACTAAACCTTGGGTCATAAAACACAAAATTCCTATATCAGCCTATGCATGTTACCAAGTAGAGAATTTTAGAAACCATAAATTTTTCTCATTAAAGACTCACCAACTTCCAAATACAGATTCAAGGACAGAGATAACAATCCTATACAAATGACAGGATGTAATCCCACTCACTCATTTCAAAATCAACAGACTGCTTCACTTTGGAGCTGCAAATAACAGTCTTCTCAGTCAGCCATTATTACCTAGCAGCTGAGAAACCTCCTCTAGTAAAGAGAGAATTTGCCACTGCTAAAGTTCCTACTGAAATATATTCTGAATCAGTCTATAAAAGTCTTTCCTATTCTGTAAACTATTTCATTTCTTTCCTACAAAGAAAAAGAGGGGATTTAACTCAAAGAACTTCATCAGCAAAACACTTTACAATAATCCTGCCTTCCAGGGAGAACGTAGAACAGACATGTAAACATTTTGTTAGCATTTTCAACTTAAATTAACTAAACAGACTGTCTTTAGCGCTATAATCCTTGATACTTATGAAAGCCAGAGTTCTCAGGTTACAAACCCTATCATACATCTTCTCCCAAGAGAAAAGCAGCAAATGCAGTAGTCAACAGTCATATTCCTCTCAAACAAGCTACTGATAAATATATACTGCTAAAAAGACCCTGATTTTTAAAAATGAATTATAAAGCAATGCCTTTATGGACACACGTTAAACAGAACCTTTATTTTAACAAAAGAACCAAGTTTAAAATATACTTGAAAAGGCCCACTATGGGATTGATAAAGAGCCAAAATACTAAAGCAGCTACAGCTTTAGTTTATGGATTATGTTAGGTTCAGAATGAAAAAGGCAAAAAAAGCATCTCAATAAGCTAAACAAAATTTCACAGAGTTAGCAAGAGAGAACTTATCTAGGTTGCCACACATCTGAAAGAGAAATAGGGCAACACTTATCAGACAGTTATAGCAGCACTACAAATGACATATAACAGGATTTTAGGGCTGGAAAGAACACTGGAGTTTCTCCAAGCCATGCCTTTCCTTTTAAAGGTGAGGAAGTCAAGGTCCAGAGAACCAAGGGGCAAGCCAGTGAGAAATGAGAGCTCAAGTCCCAGAGCCAAAACCAGAGTCTGTCTTCACTTTGCTCTTTTCTTCTGTGTGACATTTAGTTGGTCACTGGAGGACACTTTTACCTGTTTGTATAAAATTAAGCTTTAGTTCTGCCGGCAAGCATTCAGTTTTTTGTTGCAGTACTGACAGCCCTGGAAAGGTCTACATACACAAGGGGAAAAACCCATGAAGCACAATGTTGATAAAGTATAAAAAGTGGCTAAGGAAGCAGGGTGCAGTGGTTCATGTCTGTGATCCCAACTACTCAGGGGTGTAGCGATGGGAGGATGGTGGCTCAAGGTCAACCCAGGCAAAAAAGTTTGCAAAACACTGCCTCAAAAAAAAACAAGCCGGCCACAGTGGTGCATGCCTATAATCCCAGCTACTCAGGAGGTGTAGGTAGAAAGATCATGAACCAAGGCTGCCCAGGCAAAAGCACAAGACCCTAAAAAAAATAAACGAAAGCAAAAAGGGCTGGGGGTGTAATTCAAGTGGCCCAGAACACTTGCCTACTACAAGTGAAGCCCTGAATTTAAACCCCAGTGATGCCCAAAAATAGGTTCACAGGATAAAACACAACCATTTGTTTCTTGAATTTTCTTGGGGAATGACAAAAAAAAAAAAAAATCCACTAAATTAATCAGATAATGTTGGGGGGGAATAAATATTAGCTTTTTAAACTCCCTCTAGTGGGAACAAAATACTCAATTGTTTCCATAATTACATTTTAAAAGTGGGAGGGAAGCTATGCAATGGAAGCCCTGTTTCTTCAATATCAAATTCCATGCTTGCTGGGGCTTTATAATTCTACCAGAGAAGCACCAGCACAAAAACCAAGAGGAACCCAAAGCACAGGGTGGCTTTCTGTCTGCCACCTCCTATTCAAATCACCTACTTTTCTAATCAAGATCATTTTCAAATATATCATTACCAAATGAGCCATCCTCAGCAAGTATTATCTTTTTTTTTCTTTCTCCTTTTCCTCAGTTAGGAATCCAACCCTTTTACATTTAGTTTTTTTTTTTTTTTTTTGATAGGGTCTCAGGTTTTTCCCCAGGTCAGCTTTGAACAAGGATTCTCCTACCTCTGCCTCCCAAGTAGCTGGGATTACAGGCATGCACCACTACACTGCCCATCTTGCAAGTATTATCTTGATAGTGTAGATTACCAAGTATTTCTGCCCCAAAACATCAGCTCCAAAATATATACATACATAGGTACTTTTACTGTCTAGAACCAAACAATAATCACAGAACTCTTCCTGGTGATGTGGCAGAACAGTACATGGATACTCCTGTAGACTGTGACATTCCCAAATGACAATTTGCCATAAGCCATAGCTTTATGGCATTGAAAAACTTATAGCAACCATTTCTAACATGAAAGATAATGATTATAACAGCCAACTATGAAATCATGAAGTACAGTGACTTTAGGTGAAAAGTATTTTGCAAAGTCACATTGTTATACTGTGATGAGTTAATAAAAGAGCTTTGAATTCCTCTTTTCTGGGCCAGTTTTATGAGTAAAAGTTTGCTCAAATACTTTGGATGAGGACTACTAAGTAGCAAGAAGAATCAGCAGCTCTCAGATGGTATGGTAAGAAACTAATGTGTTCCAAAAGTTATGAGGCACTTAACTGACATGAATAGTGACGGGATACCGTATCTCCATGGTATCATCATCCTCATTTACCTGAACTCTAATCTGTTTTATCCACTGCATGAGAGCTGGAGTTTCCATGGAAACACCGTGAGGCTGTGGGTGATATAACTCTGCTGTGTCTTGGCCCAGAGGGCCAAACTTTTTACCAGTATACTGTAAAATTCTTGAACTTTTTAAATATATGGGTCTATTCGTGGTGTTCTGTAGAGTGAGAGTCTATAAGACTAAATGTTCTTGACTATTGAGTCACATATTTACTAAATCTTTTCCTTTTCTGAAGACTGAATGCACTTTCTCCATCTGATCTTCAATGCCAACAATGAAAGGGCAAAAAAATTAGAATAGAATAGAATGGACTGGAAATGGCAAAGGCAAGATCCCAGTTGTAGAGCTGTTAATTAGGACGGCAGGGAGGCTAGAATTTGACAATAGTTTATTCGCTGACAAAATTCCAACTGGCCTCTAAAGAAACAAAATTAAACATAGCTTGGTTAAAGCACGATGCTATTAGCAACTAGCCATTCATGCACAAGGTCAAAATCAGGACTACCGTAGCATTGCAGACAGAAGCTCTCACAAATCCTTAGAAGGACATACAACTCGGAGGTGCTTGGTGAGTCTTATATCTCATCACTGGGAGCCAGGCATTCTTCATTTACAAATTAATTGCACACAAAGTGATTCACTGAGTAGAGAAGCAATATGCATTAGGTAACTGCTACCAGTTATAACACAGCTGCAATTCAAAGCTACCAGGCAGGAAGGCAGGAAAAGGACCACCTTTCCTTTAATCTCTCAAGGTTGCCCACTGTTCTGCCACTGTAGAGCCAAGGAAACTGAGGAGGTTAAAAAGGCTCCTGAATATTCAAGCAAGGTTCCATTTTATCACTCAATTAACTATTGTCACTGGATATACATAGAAATGAATTTTTATGAATAATTTTGAACTTTGAAACTCTCAAGCCTCCAATCTCACTTTTCCGTACATCAATTACTTTTTAAATATTAGTGTCTTATAAATATCTTTCTTAGCAATATAACCATAATCATGTTAGAATCAAATTAGCCACAAGCTCTTTTCTTCTTCTCTGCCAGAAACACTCATTCTTCAATCCTTCAACCTTTCAGAGCTACTTTTCCTCTGGAGATTCGCTACCTCATAATACAGTCTATCAAACAGATGACCTCAAAAGCTACTTTCTGTGTTATCTAGAATAACTGCCTCATCAATAAGTATTCCTTTTAAAATTTTCACCACACAGTACACCTGGCAGGAAGCTCTAATATCTTTCCCAGTGGAAACTCATTTGTTAAAATATCTTCTCATTTATAGCAGTGACTATTTAAACTGACCTACTCACAAATCCTGGTGACTGCATCCCAGTCAACTATCCAAAGACATCAAGGTCACAAAACCTTGTGCTGCAAATTCTCAAAATAACAGAAAACCCTTATCCCTACCCTTGTTTAAACAACTGTAGCAAGGGACTCTGCCTAAATTTAAAATTCTCACCCAGAGTCACAAACTCAAATGCACTCAGGGACCTTGGCCAAGAATTCACTAGAGGGAAACAGGTGGGTCCAAGTGCACACACCATGTCCCTATGAGAAGTGGGAACTGTGGCCATCTGGGACAGTGCTCAACTCCAGCCCACCTGCCATATGCAAATACTGGAGAGGATGGCCAGGACTTGATAGGATTCAACACAAACCAGAAACTCTAAAGTGTTCATGAAATATTCTAATTATTTTTTGCATTTTTATTAGTAAAAAATTATTAGTATTCACTGGACATTTTCCAATTTTTAAATAGAGATTCAACTTTTAAAAAAACACTGTGCAACCAAATAGTACTTATCTATGGCCAAAAATCAAGTAAGCTGCTAGTTTCCTGTCTGTACTCTAACTCTACTGTCAGTCACATGGGCAGTGACTAATCACTCCAGTTTCTTGCTTGTTTATATTAACAGTCTACAGTAACTATTTAAAAGAATTACTTAAAACAGGTTATATCATGCATAGTCTCTATAAAAGGAACCTTTTATCAGTCAGTCAAGAAATTTGACTCAAACTAAAAATAACAAGGGAATTGACTTTCACTTACAACACTTCTGCTACTATGATTATTGCCACCATTTACTGAACAGTTACTATGTCCCAAGAATTCTAATAAATACTTTACATATCAAAAATGTGGTCTCCTTCTTTTACTCCTTTCCTTTTATAATCTATTTATCACACAGCATTTAAAACAATATTTCATGACTATGACATCATTTCCCCCACTTAAAAGCTCCACTGGCCTAGCTACTAAGTAGGCAGAGATCATGAGGATTGTGGTTTGAAGCCAGCACTAGACAAATAGTTCCTGAGACCCTATCTCAAAAAAAAAAAAAAAAATTACAAAAGAAAGGGGCTGTTGGAGTAGCTCAAGCAGTAAGAGTACCTGGCTAGCAAGTGTGAGGCCCTAAGTTCAAACCTCAGCGCCACCAAAAAAACAAAACAAAACAAAAAAACTCCACTAGCTTCCCATTCCTCTTAGAATAATATACAAACATCTTACTGTGATTCACCAGGATCTGGCCCAGCCCACCTCTTCACCCTACATCTACTACTCAATTCTGCTCACACATTACCGGCACCATGGTTTCTGGCTGTTCCATGGATACTTGGGTCTCTTCCCCACTTCCCAGCTTTGCCCTTGCTGGTGTCTTGGCCTAGAATGCTTTTCCCCAGGCTTCTGCACAGCTGATTTCTTCTCACTAGTCAAATTTCAGCACAAACAATTCCCCTTCCAATAGATTTTCCCTCACCATCCTGTCTCCTGCCTTCCCTAACCATTGCTTTCACATCACCCTGGTTTATTCCCCTATCACTTATAAATGATGAGTGATCGCTCACTCAAATCACTTCACTCACTTGTTTACTTGTTTATTATCTGCCTCCACTAGATGAAAACAACCTGAAAGTCACATGCCTATAAACTATAAACCAGGCCCCTCCCTCCAAGGACAGCCATTGCGTTCTAAATGAGAAGTTCTTAAAGACTTTAGCCATTTATCCAAGAGCATCACTCAGTTGTGTTTTATTACTGTCTCGGAGAAAGAAGCATTACACTCATCTACTTTTTAGGGGTCCAAATATTGCTCAGGGCTTTGCTTTGTGTTATTTTAAAGAACTGAAAATCCCTTCAAAGTGACACAAAATCACTTGTAAAGGACTGGGTTTAGGGTCTTTTCTGAGTAACTCACCTCTTTCTCCCTCTCATAGTCCTCTTTGTCGTACTCTTCATCTTCATTTTGTGCCTGTAGTGCCACACTGCCAAAGTCTAACGACATGGTCCTCCTATGGGAGGAGGAAGATGTTTGGTTTCTAAATAGCCCTTAAAACCTCCCAGACATTACCCCCAGTACAACAATAATATGAAAAAGTAAATAAAAATCTTCCCCAGAACTATGTGAGCAATGCCATATACAGAGTCAAAAGACCACAGCCTTGGAGAAAATATGTATAACCATTGTATGATAAACATTATTCCAAATGAAAAGTTATTACAAATTATGATTAATAGAAAACAGTCATATACAACATAGACAAGAAAAATGCAAATAGTTAATACAACTATGAACAGATAGAAAGTACAACTTTAAAAAAGTAAGATTCTTTTTGCATACACAAAAACATGATAAGAATAAAGCAGAACACCAAACATAAAAATCTCAAGAATAAGATAAACACAGCACAGGTAGGATATCCTCTATAATTTGCTTCATTCTTTAATACCACAAATCCAAATTTCATGCTTTACAAAGACAGAGCCCAAGTCCTGAGCTAATACTTACTACTCAGAAACCATTTACAATCTGGGAAAACCATTCAGCACACAACAAAAAAATCTAAGTGTTAAATGTCCTGTTCTTAAGCTTGATAAAATCAGGTTCTGGCAAAATACCAAGGAAAGACACAAGAGGAGGCCACAAGGCTGTGGCACTGTGAGGTTCCAAATCCAAAAGCAACAGCTCCCATGTGGCAGAAACAACAGGAGATGGAGAAAGGCTTCTGATTATTTAAATTTCACTTAGGGATACTGACAGAGCACCTTAAATCCCTAGAATCTCAAAACACTGACCAATTCTGAGGAAACTAGGTGCTTGTCTCCATCCAGCACCTACCAGAATTCTCTTGCACCCCAACATAAAATAAAGATTTGAATATGTTATAGTGTCCATAATATAGCTGAAATGGTGTGGGGGAAAACATCATTTCATGTCTGTAAATGTACTCTGTTCACTACTGCAAGTAGATAGCGAGTCTACAGAATCTCCGTAGCCACTCAACCCCTAACCATAAAGAGATGAAACTAAGCTGGACCCTTAAAGACAACCCTGAATCCTGCAGAAACAAAATAATCCTTTCTGTGTCCAAATCCTTGCCGTGTTCACCTCTTCTTTCATTAACTATAAACACAATTTGGGTTAATTTCTCATTTATTAGGTAAAAGAAGGGAAAGCATTTTCCCCAAACCTTTATTAACTTGTCATTAGTTGACATTAATATTGAAAAAGAACATTAAGATTTATAAGATCCTGTTGTTAAATATAGCTATTTTAAACAACAAGCTACCTTTTCTCAAAGAGGGAATAAATTAATTGCACAAGGTGTTTTTGCTTTTAACTGGAGACCCTGAGAAAGAACAAACTGTATTTTTTTTAATGACATTTTAAGTGCAAACTACATCAAATGTCTGAAAAGACCAAAGTCTTCCCTACTGGGGAAGAAAAGTATAAACAAATTTTCCTTTTAAAATGTATAACCTTAGAAGCCTCATTAGCACAGAAGGTAGTACATTCATAAAATGTATAACTACCAGAGATCTTAAGAAACAATTTTAGGCAAAAAGGTAAATCTGATTAACTTATTGTAGTAAAAAAAAAAAAAAAAAGACTAAAGAAATAATTGTGGTAAATACATATGTAAATGTCACAATGTATCACCCATGTACAATAATATGCTCACAAAAGGGATAATTGTATTTCAGCTGAGATTTAAAATAAAGTTTTTCTTTAACGTATTAATCATCACTAATTACCACTGCTATCAGAGACTTTACTGTAATATTCAGAATTAAAAAAAAAAAACAAGCAAGATAGTAAATCCAGAGCCATAGAGGGAAAACTTAATGAAAATCTAACCACAAAAAATTAAATTTGCATAAGGCAAAAAGATATCATTAATAAGTCAAATATTACATATCAAAAATACAAAATCAAAAGAAAAAATTGTAATGATTAGAAAAATACTTGGAAAACAAAGTCTCAAATTTTGTGGAAATGAGAAAAAGACACCCTAATTTAAAAATGGGCAAAAAACATGACAATTCATTATAAAAAAGAAATGCAAAATGATCCAAACATTGTATGCACATATGAATAAAATTTAAAAAAAAAGAAAGATGAATGATCAGATCTGTACAACACATTGTCTGCTGTGTGTGATACAAAGAAGATATATTTACATTAAAAATCTATTGTGCATGTAGATCTCATATGAAGTGTTCTTACAACAGCACAATAAAGACAGATAATATGGAAAAACAATGCAAATGCAACAAACTTGAAAAGATGCTGAGGTTATGAAAAATTCAAAGAAGCTGTCATTTAAACAACAAAATGCCATTCTCAAGTACATTTTAAAAATGTAATACCTAATGTTAGCTATTTTATATCTTGCATAACTTATGAATTGCTGGCAAAAATAGGAACTGCTAAAATCATCTCAAAAAAGCTCAATATTAGCATATTGAAAATGAACATTTGCCTTAGTAAAATTACTTTTGGAATGAATTTGGCAATACTATGCCACTAGCAAAAATATTGAAATATTTTTATGTTTACTGACTCAGAGGACTGACCATTAAAAAAAAAAAGATGTAGAGGAAGTGTACAGTATGCTTTTTAATAAAATATAGCAATCTAATTAAGATCTTCAAACTAGAGAGGAAACTTTCTCTGAATCATTAACAAGAATATAAAAAGCACATGTTCTATTCAGGTCAGAGAGTCCTCTGACCCAGCACTGACTCTATTTTCCCTACTAATGCTTCCTGTGCCCTCCTTGCATTGAGAAGAAAACCAACAGGTGTTTGCCTGGGACAAAAGATTATAAAGCAAAAGTAGCACTGTTTTTAACTTCACCTAATAAACTATAAGGACCTTTAGGCAGAATTAAAATGTGCATGATGGGTACAAAACAAATATTTGTTGAATTAATATGAGATATGCATGCTATCCAATAGGAATTCACTATTTCAATAAACTATTATTGAATACTGAGTGCAAGAAGATATGCCACAGGCATCTAAGACATGATCTCTTAGGAAGACAATGTTATAAACTAACAGTTGCAACGATACATTGTAATAAAGTTTGTAGTGGAGGGAAATACAAAGCACAAATCAATTTGGGCCTCAGAAGAAATGAAGGCTAAGACAAAGCGCTTTAGATTAAAAAACAAAAAAGGAAAAAGAAAAGAAATAGTTCTTAAAGGATACAGTATGACTGTGACTAAAAAATGAGGGCCAGTGGCTCACCCCTGTAATCCTAGCTACTTGAGAGGCTGAAAGGGAAGATGGCGATGGAGGCCAGCTGGGAGAGGGGCATAGTTCTCAAGACCCCATCTTCAAAATAACCAGAGCAAAATGTACTGGAGGTGTGGCTCAAGCAATAGAGTGCCCACTTTGCATGCACACAGCCCTGAGTTTGTCCTACTAAAACAAAACAAAACAAAACGATGCATTCAGACAACCTGGGCTCAATTTGAGTTCCATTTATCAGCTGTGCAATCTCAAACAAATTACTTGCAATTCTTCATTAATGAAATGAGGATAAAATCAGTATCTGTCTATAGATGAGAAAAAGGTGAGTTTGTGCAGTCTGTGGGAAACCTTACTTCAAAGAATGCAAACTCTCCTGGGATAAAAATGCCACCCTCCTCCAGATGCCTTCCCCAATCCTGTTCCCCAAGAAATAAGTCACTTTGCACAATCGGACTGTATTTCTTATGGCTTGCAACCTCAGCCTCTCACTGAGTTGAAGACAACCACCTACCTAGGGAGTGTGTAGAAATTGTCATATATTATCCGAGTTTCCGGATAATATATGCAACTCAGCTTAAATCACACTTAAGTTCATGGCTGCAAAGTGGCGTTAAATGCCACAGTGGTAACTGTAAGAATTGCCCTGGGAGTTAGGAAATTCGACTTAGTTGCTTACACCTAAAGTCTCTTTTAGAATGGACATAACCAGACCACACTAGGCTGTTTCAGACCTACAACACCTGGCCGAAGACCCCTATTCATTCAACAATTTACCAACCACTGTTGAATATCGCATAGAACACAGTAGAGGAAAACCAAACAGACATATAAACAAATGATGGCAACACCTTGTGTTTGGTACTAATGACAGCAGCTTGGACAAAGAGATTGAAGATGACTACAGTAATCCAACATCGCACTTGGTGCCCATAGGCAGAACGAACGTATAAATGCATGGCATTGCATTTAGAAAATGAAGAACCTTACCCAAGAACTCAGCCTGATGTCAGCCAGGGGACACCGAACAGGTACCACGAGACCAAAACTGCACGGAGCCCGGGAAGCCTGGGGCTGCTGGCCGTGGGGCCGGCGTCACTAGCACTCGATCAACACACGTGCACAGAACACCACTGTGAGCCAGGCGCAGCTCCAGGGTGACCACAGCGGGTGTCCCCAGGGTGGAACCGTAGGACGACCCCAACCGCGTGGAGAAGAGCAAAAGGGGCTCCCCAGACGTCACTTCTAAATAGGATCTTGGGGGGAATGAAGAGGTCTCGATGCCACTTCAAAGTCAAGAGCTGAGCCCTGCAACCCGCGCCGGCAGCCCACCACTGCACGATTTGGCGAGGGGGCAGGGCAGTCCTGCCGGGAACCCTAAGCAAGATCTCGAGGACCCCACAACCCTCCAATCCCAGCCCCAAGCCCAGCCGCGAAGCCGAACTCACCAGAGGCCACTGGCGCTGTCACCGGAGGGGACACTCTAGCCCGGCGGAAAACCAACTTCTAGCAAACCCTTTTACCCTGACTCTAATCCGCTAGCTGCTTCCTAGTCACAACTAAAGTCGGCCTTTGATGAGCGGCCGCTTCTTTCAATCACCTGCTAGAACCTCGCCTGGTAGGCGGGGCCTTGACGCTAGGGGCGGGGCAAGAGGCGGAAGTCACCGCCTTCCCCAAGCTTGGTTGAGAGATCCACCCGCAGTTGCGAATATATGTCTGTTTGAAGCGGGCGCCAGAGGTGGCGGGAAGCTCCTCCTGGGCGCCCATTGGTGAACTCGAGAGCCAGTCACGAAAGGGACAACTCCGGAGTGGGTGGGCTTATCAGTTGCCTAGAGACACTGGAGCGCCTAGCCTGCCTCTGTTAGGATGGAGTGGAGAGCCCGATGCATACTGAAGCGGTGACTGTGTCTCTCGTTCTTTCCACTCCTAAATCCCAGTTCTCGGCTGCAGCACATAGAATCCCTATTTCCCCCCTCCAAACTCTTAGATGTTTTTACCCTTTTTGTTCTCGAAGTTGCCATCATCAGCCTTGCATATTGTGCTGCTTTATCTTCAGGCTTACTAGGACCTGCCTGTGTTTCTTTCATTGCTGATGAAATGACCCATATTCACTACGTACTTGAATTTCCTTGGCTGTGAATCTTGTCACTTAGGTGTATGTTAGTAAACCTGTTCTTTAAGACAGCACTTCCCAGCTTCACTAAAGTCTATCACTGTGTCCTTCTCCGCTTAAAAGAATTCCAGTGAATATCAAAGAGTTGGTGGCAGCATAATCTGGCTAGTTTTCCTTTGACACCTCACCACTTCACCCTTGTAATTCCTACAGTGACCCCACAACTCGCATAGGATCCTGCACATATGGGCTTAATCCAGAATAATAGAATGAATGAAATCGCCTGCTGAATTACCAGTAGTTCCCAGAATGCCCAGTTTTGTTCAATGTTTCTTTCACTTGTATTGCCTTGCCTCATATCTTCACCTATGCTCACACTTGGCAAAATTGATCTTTACAACCACTGGACAGAATCTGCATACTCTATTGTGAGACAGGATGGTTCTCATATCTGTTGTAATTAGAAATTGTGTGTCTGTTTCACTCAGCAGAACGATGTGGATATCTTGAAGTACTGCTTTGCTTCCTGAGCATCTACTAGCATATCTTGTCACCCCTGGTTGGTACTCCAAACAGTTGTGTTAAGTCAGTAAATGAATGAACAAGTAAATTAAGTCTTTGGAGGCTAGTAAAGAGCACTTGTTGAACCTGAGCCAAAGTATCTGTTATTGAGAACTAGACTTAGGTACTTTTCATATCCTGCTGTCTATTACCAATCTGTGTCTGGTGTTTTGCACTGGGGTTTGTGATTGAATGCTACAGCCAGAATACTAAGTGAACCAGGTAAGGTAGCTTATACTCTCTCTACAACAAAATTAGAAATAAGGGCAAAATAGTTTCTGCTGGGTATTGAGGGGATGGGGGGGAGAGGGAGGGGGTGGAGTGGGTGGTAAGGGAGGGGGTGGGGGCAGGGGGGGTGAAATGACCCAAGCCTTGTATGCACATATGAATAATAAAAGAAAAAAAAGAATATTAGAAGCTATTTAATCTATTATATTGCATCCCTGAACATCCAATCTTTTTTCCATTTGAACATATTCTTTTAAGAAATTTTAATTCAGGTATTTTTAATTGCATTATATGGGTGGTATTTTCTCTGTTGAATATATTATTTTTTGGATATTTAAAGGAATTTTTAATTTCATAAGGGGAAAAATCATAAGGAAAGAGACATCAGGTAAACCTAAGTAAGATGTTCTCATATTTGGAGACTAGTTTGACTTATTGCATGATTAGGACCATTTGGATTATACATACAGGAAGTCCCAGAATGCACAAGCAGGCTAAGTATTGTACATAATATTATAATCACAGTGATGTGACCAGTCACTGATAAACTATTTTCCTGTGAAGCAACATTAGCATTCATTATACTTAGTGTTATCTTCTAACAATTAGCAGTCTGATTATCAGTACTTTTAGAGAATGGTGAAATATTTGAACTCATATGTGAGTACATTTTAGACTTACATATAAAAGGAACCCAAAGTCTAATATCCTGAAACAACAAAGGGAATTGTCTTTCATTACAAGGACCACACAGAGAATATACTGAATCAGGGTACAGAGATTCACTCAGTGCTCCATAAAATTGATAATGTTAGGACTGATTCTCCTTAGGGTAACTAGGTGGTTGAAATAGATGCTGATATCACACAGAGATATGATTCCTTATGGAAGAAAACTGGGCAACCTGCCTGGGATCACTCAATAATAGGATTTTCATTGAATCAGCTGCAGAACATCTTTGTCATGTGTTTGAATTATCGTCCTCAAAACAATGTGTCCATGTCCCAATCCTATCTTGTGACTATTAACTTATATGAAAAAAAGGGTTATGGTCAGTTTTGTAGAAAATTGTCTTGGTAGATAATAAGTTGTACTGGATTATCTGGTCATCCCTAAATGTAATCACGTTTCTCTAAAGCCAGTCAAACATGAAGATACAGACAAATTGAGTAGCTAATATAACCATGGTGCAGTTTGTACTTAATTCCAATGTTGTAAATTTTTTCACCACAACTATGTCATACTCATGAGATTTGCATCTTTTTAAGCCCTATGCAATATTTACAGATGTTGGTGAGCATAAAAAAAAAGCTAAGGCTGTTGATATAAATGTAAAATGATACAAATACATAGACAGAACTTTGATATTTCTCTGAATATTAAAATATATCTATCAAATGTAAAAAAAAAAAAAATACTAAGTGAACCAGGTAAGGTAGCTCACACCTGTAAATTCTAACTACTTGGGAAGCTGAGATCAGAAGGACCATCTCAACCAATAAAAGCTGGGCTACAGGGGAAGCATAAATATGAGGACTGTGGTACAGGCAAGCTGGGGCATAAATGTGAGACCCTATTAGAAAAATAAAGCAAAAAGGGCTGGGTATGGCACCTGCCTCACAAGCACAAAACTCTGAGGACAAACCCTAGTACTGCAAAAAAAAAAAAAAAATCCTAGGTAACCCCTGCCCACAAATGACTGCCTATTTAGAAAGAGGAACACATAAAATCTGGAAGGTGGTGAGGCACGTAAGGCAGCGTTTATAATCCCTTACATGGTGCCATGCATTTTCATAAATTCTTTCCCAGGCATTATTTCATTGGGCTGATCACAGCAACTACAGTAGTACCCAATTTACAGGTGAAGAAACTCACATTTTAAAAAATGAGTGAAGTGACTTGTCCAAGGCCACACACCACTAATATGAGTCAGCAGAATTTGAACCCAGATCCTATATATCTCCAAATCACAGCTTGTCATTAACCTACAAAATATTTTAGTGAGTCTAGTACATAATTGAGAGAAGATGCAGAAAAAGGAATAAGTCAGAAACCTCTGCCTCTAGAAATAGGATTTGAGTGGACTTATGGATACCTTACAATTAATAAAACCTTTGTCTGCCTATCTTGTTTCTGTCCTGACTAGATTCTGGAATATAAAGTGTAGAGCAGGACCTCTACCTTTGAGTTATCAACACTCTGTTTGGGGCACAGGTCTTTACATAGAAAGACAGATGATAACACAGACAAGAAAAAAGTTAACTATAATATGAACAGAATAGGCAATAATTCTGGGGAAAAGTGAGCACCTAAGGATGTATCAAGGAAGACCCAAGAGGGGTGTTGCATGCACGAGACAAGCCATGTGAGGACACAGCAAGAAAAGCCATCTGCAATATGGACAGAGGCCTGCAGACACCTTCACCTTGGATTCCAGCCCCAGGAACTGAACGCTTCCCAGGGGAAAGAGCATTGCATTGCCATGGCATGTACAAAGCTGAAAGAATCCTGGAATGAGTTTGCACACCACCTGCACACTCCACCCCCCTCCCTAGTTGGGCACTGGCACATTTTCCTAGGTGGGCAACTGAGGACCTGAAGTCCTGTCCAAGGCTACCTGTGTCTCAGGGGCAGAGATCGCAGGGCCACATCTGACTCCACACCTGTGGAGAGTTGGGAGAAGAGCAGACAGTGGTGATCTAGGTGTTGCCTAATATTTCCAACAGGGACAATAACAGATCCTTTCAGACAAAAAAAGACCAAAGATGATTGTAATGTACACTAATTGTAGTGAGATACACTGTACTTATAAAAATCCCTGTCCTGGATTTGCATTCTTTATCCACCTGTGTTTTATTTTCTCACTCCTATTTCTTCTCTAAAGAGGGCCATTTCTCAATGTTTTTTCCATGACTAGCCAAAGGAGGACCTGAGGTGTGGGACCTGACTCATCCATTTTTCATAAGAGCTAGAGAAGGAAATCAACTTTGATTCCCGCCCATCAAGGACCAACAAATGAAGGGAAATTTTTTTAATTAAATTGGTTTTAGCAAATTGAAGAGAGAAATACAAATGAAGTGATTCATCCTTCAGGATGCCAGGGAAACCTTGGGATATCAAAGGAAATGGCTAAGTCCTCAAGGGCTCCTCAGCAATGACTCAAATGCCATCCTTCCTGTCAACTTACTCTAATAAAAAGCTATAAATAGAAAGCTATTTATAGGTTTCTCTGTTGTTTTAATGAAAACAAAATCTCTCTTCAATTCTTTCTCTGTCCAATTGATTTCCTGTGGCTATGTGGGGGTTTTGTTTTGTTTTGGTAAAACTGAGGTTTGAACTCACAGTCTCAAGCTTTCTAATCAGAGGCTCTACCACTTAAGCCACACCCATTTTTACTTTAGGTTATTTTTCCTGAGTTGGCCTCAGACTGCAATCCTCCTATCCATGCGTCCTGAACAGGCTAGATTACAGAAGTGTACCACTACACCCAGCCCAGGAATAATTTAAGTCTTCACCTTAGTCACAGGAGCCTGAGCCCACCTGAATGAAAATCAGCAACTGCCATTAAACAAATTAAAAATACACCTGGGAATGTTACTCAAAGTCCTGCTCTCCTGCTCAGTTGACCTACTTATGACCTAAAGTATGA